AAAATCAATAAATCCAGGGGCTGGTTTTTTGAAAAGATCGACAAAATAGACAGACCACTAGCCAGGTTAATAAAAAAGAAAAGAGAGAATGACCAAATTGATGCAATAAAAAATGATAAAGTGGATATCACCACAGATTCCACAGAAATTCAAACCATCATCAGAGATTATTACAAACAACTCTATGCACATAAACTAGTAAACCACGAATAAATAGATAAATTCCTGGTCACTTGCCTCCTGCCAAGCCTAAAACAGGAAGAAGCCAAAACCCTGAACAGACCCATAACAAGGTCTGAAGTTCAGGCAGCAATTAAGATCTTACCACCCAAAAAAAGCCCAGGTCCAGACGGGTTCACAGCCGAATTCTACCAGCCCTACAAAGAGGAGCTGGTACCATTCCTTCTGAAACTATTCCAAACAATACAAAAAGAGGGAATTCTTCTCTAACCATTTTATGTCACCAATATCATCCTGATTACAAAACCGGGCAGAGACTCAACAAGAAAAGAAAACTTCAGAAAAATATCCATGATGAACATAGATGCAAAAATCTTCAATAAAATACTGACAAGCCGACTGCAACAGCACATCAAAAAGCTTATCCACCATGATCAAGTAGGCTTCATCCCGGGGATGCAAGGCTGGTTCAACATACGCAAGTCTATAAACGTAATTCACCACATAAACAGAACCAAAGACAAAAACCACATGATTATCTTAACTGATGCAGAGAAGGCCTTTGACAAAATTCAACAGCCCTTTATGCTAAAAACCCTCAATAAGCTAGGTATTGATGGAACGTATCTCAAAATAATAAAAGCTATTTACAACAAACCAACAGCCAAAATCATACTGAATGTGCAAAAACTGGAAGCATTCTCCTTGAAATCTGGCACTAGACAAGGATGCCCTCTCTCACCACTCCTATTCAATATAGTACTAGAAGTTCTAGCCAGAGCAATCAGGCAAGAAAAAGAAATAAATTTTATTCAAATAGGAAAGGAGGAAGTCAAATTGTCTCTATTTGCTGACGACATGATTGTATATCTAGAGGACCCCATTGTCTCAGCCCCAAAACTCCTGAAACTGATAAGCAACTTCAGCAAAATGTCAGGATACAAAAATCAATGTGCAAAAACCGCATGCATTCCTATACACCAATAACAGACTTAAAGAGAGCCAAATCAAGAACAAACTTCCATTCATAATTGCCACAAAGAGAATAAAATACCTAGGAATACAACTAACAAGGAATGTAAAGGACCTCTTCAAGAAGAACTACAAACCACTGCTCAACGAAATAAGGGAGGACACAAATAGATGGAGAAACATTCCATGTTCATGGTTAGGAAGAATCAATATCGTGAAAATGGCCATACTGCCCAAAGTAATTTACAGATTCAATGCTTTCCCCATCAAGCTACCAATGACCTTCTTTGCAGAACTGGAAAAAACACCTTAAACTTCATATGGAACCAAAATAGAGCCCACATAGACAAGTTAATTCTAAGCAAAAAGAACAAAGTGGGAGGCATCACACTACCAGACTTCAAACTATACTACAAGGCTACAGTAATCAAAACAGCATGGTACTGGTACCAAAACAGAGATATAGACTAATAGAACAGAACAGAGGTCTCGGAGGCAACACAACATATCTACAACCATCTGATCTTTGACAAACCAGACAAAAACAAGCAATGGGGAAAGGAGTCCCTGTTTAATAAATGGTGTTGGGAAAACTGGCTAGCCATGTGCAGAAAGCAGAAACTGGATTCCTTGTTGACACCTGACACTATAAAACTCGAGATGGATTAAAGACTTAAACATAAGACCTAACACCATAAAAACCGTAGAAGAAAATCGAGGCAAAACCATTCAGGACATAGGTGTAGGCAAGGACTTCATGACCAAAACGCCAAAAGCATTGACAACAAAAGCCAAAATAGACGAATGTTACCTAATCAAACTCCACAGCTTCTACACAGCAAAAGAAACAGTCATTAGAGTGAATTGGCAACCAACAGAATGGGAAAAAATTTTGCAGTTTACTGATCTGACAAATGGCTGATATCCAGAATTTACAAAGAACTAAAGCAGATTTACAAGAAAAAAACTAACAAGCCCATTCAAAAGTGGGCAAAGGATATGAACAGATACTTTACAAAAGAAGACATACATGAGGATAGCAAACATATGAAGGAATGCTCATCATCACTGGTCATCAGAGAAATGCAAATCAAAACTACATTGAGATACCATCTCATGCCAGTTATTATGGCGATCATTAAAAAATCTAGAGACAACAGATGTTGGAGAGGATGTGGAGAAATAGGAACACTTTTACACTGTTGGTGGGAGTGTAAATTAGTCTAACCATTATGGAAGACAGTGTGGCGATTCCTCAAGGACCTAGAAATAGAAATTCCATTTGACCCAGCAATCCCATTACTGGGTATATATCTAAAGGATTATAAATCATTCTACTATAAGGACACGTGCACATGAATGTTCATTGCAGCACTGTTTACAATAGCAAAGACCTGGAATCAACCCAAATGCCCATTGATGATAGACTGGACAGGGAAAATGTGGCACATATACACCATGGAATATTATGCAGCCATCAAAAATGATGAGTTTGTGTCCTTTGTAGGGACATGGATGAACCTGGAAACCATCATTCTCAGCAAACTGACAGAAGAGCAGAAGATCACACATTGCATGTTCTCACTCGTAGGCGGGTGTTGAACAATGAGAGCACATGGACACAGGGAGGGGAGCACTACACACTGGGGTCAGTTGGGGGGAAATAGGGGAGGGACGGTTGGGTGTGGGGAGCTGGGGAGAGATAGCAAGGGCAGAGATGCCAGATGTAGGTGATGGGAAGGAAGGCAGCAAATCACACTGCCATGTGTGTACCTATGCAACAATCTTGCATGTTCTTCACATGTACCACCAAACCTAAAATGCAATAAAATATATAAATAGGAAAAAACAAAACAAAACAAAACAAAATGGCATAGAAACCCCCAAGTCTAACCACTTCTTTGGGTTTTCATTTTTGTGTAAAGCCCCTGTGTACATAAAAATATTAATAAATTTGTGTGCTTTTTTAGCGCCATCTGCTCGCGGCGCCGCCTCCTGCTCCTCCCGCCGCCTCCTGCTCCTCCCGCCGCCGCTGCTGCCCTAAGTCACTGCCTGCGCAGCTCCGGCCGCCTGGCTCCCCATACTAGCCGCCGATATTTGGAGTTCTTACAATGGCAGACATTGACAACAAAGAACAGTCTGAACTTGATCAAGATTTGGATGATGTTGAAGAAGTAGAAGAAGAAGAAACTGGTGAAGAGACAAAAATCAAAGCACGTCAGCTAACTGTTCCGATAATGCAAAATCCTCAGATTCTTGCAGCCCTTCAAGAAAGACTTGATGGTCTGGTAGAAACACCAACAGGATACATTGAAAGCCTGCCTAGGGTAGTTAAAAGACGAGTGAATGCTCTCAAAAACCTGCAAGTTAAATGTGCACAGATAGAAGCCAAATTCTATGAGGAAGTTCACGATCTTGAAAGGAAGTATGCTGTTCTCTATCAGCCTCTATTTGATAAGCGATTTGAGATTATTAATGCAATTTATGAACCTACGGAAGAAGAATGTGAATGGAAACCAGATGAAGAAGATGAGATTTCGGAGGAATTGAAAGAAAAGGCCAAGATTGAAGATGAGAAAAAGGATGAAGAAAAAGAAGACCCCAAAGGAATTCCTGAATTTTGGTTAACTGTTTTTAAGAATGTTGACTTGCTCAGTGCTATGGTTCAGGAACATGATGAACCTATTCTGAAGCACTTGAAAGATATTAAAGTGAAGTTCTCAGATGCTGGCCAGCCCATGAGTTTTGTCTTAGAATTTCACTTTGAGCCCAATGAATATTTTACAAATGAAGTGCTGACAAAGACATATAGGATGAGGTCAGAACCAGATGATTCTGATCCCTTTTCTTTTGATGGACCAGAAATTATGGGTTGTACGGGGTGCCAGATAGATTGGAAAAAAGGAAAGAATGTCACTTTGAAAACCATCAAGAAGAAGCAGAAACACAAGGGACGCGGGACAGTTCGTACTGTGACTAAAACAGTTTCCAATGACTCTTTCTTTAATTTTTTTGCCCCTCCTGAAGTTCCCGAGAGTGGAGATCTGGATGATGATGCTGAAGCTATCCTTGCTGCAGACTTCGAAATTGGTCACTTTTTACGTGAACGTATAATCCCAAGATCAGTGTTATACTTTACTGGAGAAGCTATTGAAGATGATGATGATGATTATGATGAAGAAGGTGAAGAAGCGGATGAGGTAATGTTTACCAAATGAGCAAATATGTTTAACAATTGAGAAGCAAATTGAATGACTTATGTATTCCTTTGCTATAATCATTCTGTGATTTGGGATATAAAACATTTTGGAAAATATGATTTTAGAATTCTACAGCCAAACAATGTACGTATAAGGTTTCAATAAATAAATTGCAAAACTCAGCAAAAAAAAAAAAAAAAAATAAATAAAATAAAAAAAATAAAATAAATTTGTGTGACTTTTCAAAAAAATATATTAATGTAAAATCTAGCTAACCAGATAGGTTATTAGATAAAACATAAATTTTTAATATCAAGCCACAGATTTCTATCTGTTAAATATAACATATAAATTAAACTGCTACATTTAATATGAAATACATTATATAAATATTGGACAGTTCTACTTAAACAAACTGCACTGATCACAAATTAGGCAAAAACTTTTGGGTTTCCCTATATGCTCAACAACTGCAAAGATCTTTAAGTAGGATGCTGTGTGGTTCTGCAAATATTTCACACAGTGCTTCAGTGAAATTTCACTTTCTATGTTTGGAGATTTATTTGCAATTCTATTATTGAACCAAATTCTCCAGAAGAGAAACCTGGATCTTGGCCAAAAAGAGAAGCATGACTCTAAGTTGCTGACCTGTAGAATGCGTGGCTTGAAAGCCTTTTCTTTGAACAGATGCATCAGAAACAAACCGAACAAACATTTTATTTCCAGTAGCCACAAGGGGTTCCGGTATGTTGTTTCCACATAGTCGTCCAAGAATTGGTGACTTTTCTGTTTCTCCATCAAATACTTCTAAGTGGTCATAAGCACATTCTTGATGCTGCTCAATCTCAAATTCACTAAAGGCCTATTTTAAAAAGAAGAAATAAAAAATTTGTAAAAACACAAATCACTCAAAATGGAATAATTTTGGGGAGAGAAATACATATCAATAAATATGTTCAGGGTATGCTAATAATTTAATACATTTAGGGTATTATTGAGAAAGGTGTGAAATCAATAGAATATGTAATATCTGAAAAGATATAATGAGGAAAACAATGTAATAACTTCATATGAAATTCTGCCAGTTGGCTATTACAACCACTTCTACTATTGAAATTCAGTCTCAGATTTTAAACAGATGTTAACAAAATTGTATTTTATTCTGAATTTCATCCAAAGAATTCATCAGAAAATTCCAACCAATCATATTATAAGATTGGTTCCTTCTGGGTTTAATGATCATAAAACCCATCGAACATCATCCTATCCTTGGGCACTTAAACTAAAGAAAATTTGATAAAGTATCATTATATTTTTACAAAACTTAAATGCAACAAATCTTCAAAGAACTTTCAGTAAATATTTATTTAGTTCTTACAAACTGTATCAGTAGCAAACACTCATAATACTTTAGGCTAGATATTTTTAATTTACTTTTTATGTAGATAGTACATTTATTTTACTATTGGACATCTTGGAGAGTTTGAATGCTTTGCTGTTGTTTATGACATTTAAAAACCATTCTAATTTACGTGTGTTGTTATTTTCATCTGTGTGACTTAGCAAATTTAAAATAAGTAATAATTACCAGTATAACACACTAAAGGTCACAAATGAAAGTTTAATTGAGATGGACTAAAAATAGCATTGTCCAAACTATTAATAATTACATACATTACAGGCTATTTGTCATTGCCAAAGGCTTTTTCCTTTCCCCAGAAAAACCACCACGCATTGAAAAAATAAAGCCATCGCTCTTACTTAAGTCTATAGAATGAAACTAAAATATTATAAAGAAAATAAACCTGAAAAAGTATGAAATATGTTTCAAACATTGTTAATTTGCTATAAGCCCTCCAACAAAATATTGGCTCATAAACTTTTAATATACATATTTTCTTTGATACAATTTTACTGAAGTGATCGTAATGTTCAGTCTAATTGAAGACATACAAAAAAAAAGACTAAAAATTGTTCTATCTCAGTGTAGACCCATTATGTATTCCATGCCAAACTACATCACCTATTATTACTTCTGACTTTGGAGGAGTAAGGAAAGAAATGAAAAAAGCAATTCATATTAACTAGGAAGTAGGAGAAATGAATGGAGTTACTTAAAGAAAGAAAAGGGAAGAAAAAAAGCTGATCTCTCTTTTGCCTCTTTCCACTGCACTCTACTTAAAAAGTAGAAATAAAAAATGTTATAACCAATAAGCCTTAGAGTAATTGTTTGTTATAACCATTATGGGTGAAAAGGAATGCTTGCTTCATTTGACCAAAGACACTGCCTAGGACAAAAAGACTGAGCATATGAATCTCACTGTGCAAAGGATCTCACTGGAAACAGAAGACAGTGTGGGGAAATACAGTGAACAAGGAGACATCAGTAGAGTTTATTTATTCTGAAGCACAGCATGCAAAGCAGGTGATAACTGAAGGAATTTGTCACTTGTTAATCTCTGTAACCCAGTGAGGTATATACACACTACAAGGGATATAGAAGATTCTGAATAAATATGTGGATGTCTGCATAAATCTGTCAATGTATTTACCCAAAAACCTAGCTGATGTTTATGGCCAACCTCAAGTATGAAAATTCTACAGACAATGCCTACTAAATCTCATTTTCTGTCTCTCGTGAGGTAGCAGTCGGCTTTTATTACCATTGTGTACATACATACATTCCTAACATCAGTTTGTAATCAATAAGAAACTACTATGAGAAAATCGACTTAACTGTACCTAGAGTTATGTAATAAATATGAGATCAAGCTACTTAATTATAAAACTAATGTTATTTCAAGAGGAAAAACATTGGTTTGGGAAAAGAATATCTGAAAAACAATGTATGCTGAGAATTATCTCTTTTGATTGTGATTTAAAGTCATTAATCTGTAAATACAAAGAGCAAAGAACCAGGGAAACCTACTGTGTAGAAGAGAGTATTTTAAGAAAGATGGAGGAATGGCATTCTAAAGTATTTGCTATAAGCAGTAGCTAAAGCTGGGATCAAAATTTACAGACCACACATGTTCAGTCCATTGATTGGTCCATTGAAGACTGAATGAATGAGATAAATAGGTGACTATTTTTTTTCCTAATGAAATCCAGGATGTCTTGTCTAAATCATAACATTTGTTTAACAGAAGGGAGCAACACCACACAAAGTGGGATTGAGTTGGTGGGTCGGGGGCCATACTGAAATCTGGTCTGGAGCCAACTGGCTACAGCTCTTTATCAAATCACTAATGGAATTAGACTGAGTCTGTAAGAGTCAAATTAGTCAAAGGTTTCTAGCTGACATATACTCTAGTGATGCAAACAACTCTCATTTATTAAAATATTAATCAATTTTCTTCCTGGAATAGGTAGCAACTTGTTAGGTCAAATGTAAAGGCTGGGTGGTCCTTTTCCTGAAGTCAGCCTGAACCGAAAGCTCCACCACACACAAGCAAAGGTGTGACTAATTCACGTGTGGAGACCTCGGAAATCTCCCTTTTGTAGACTTGTAGAGATACCCACATAGAGAACCTTCCATACACAGTGACTTTTTACATCAACAGAAAATATTTCTAGGCCACAGAAATGTATTATGGAAACTCTTTGGAAAGAACAAACCTCTGAAATATATTTCAGAGTTCACAATGATAAGGTGTAATATGCCATTTATTACTTTATTCTACAACACAAGCTGAACTATGAATCTCAATATCTCAATAATACAGAATGTGCACATTTCCAGCCACCAGGAACCAATGCCACAGAAATGTCCCCAGAAGACACTTAAGTTCCCGAAAAGTTCCGTAAGTTCACAGTGGAGACACAATAGCCAGCAAGGAAGAATGTGTAAAGCTGTAAGGAACTCTGATTTCCACTAAAACACTACCTTCCACTGGTAGACTTAAATATTTTTCTTAAGTGTTTAAGACTTTATAAGTATTTGGGTATTAAATAATTTAAAACATACTCATTCCATGATTATATTTCTGTAATTTTAGGGTTAATAATCTAGGTTTTAGAAAGGCCAAAAAAAAACAAGTGAATAACCATGGGCCCTAGTCATAAATCCTAATGCATTTCCCACAAGGCAAGCAAGCTAAGAGATTAAGGAGTCCAATTCGAAAGAAATAAAATTGAACTCTCATTGTAGGCTGTAGAAATAATAACTTTGTTCCTGGAACACCCAAGCAAGCCTAATCTACCTGGCTGGCCCCTGGCCACGCTTCCAGATGCTGTTCACTCATATGAACATCTGTAGAGGTTCTTTTATTGAAAATACTGGCAATCACTAAAGAATGAGTCCTTACAGAGTAACTGAATATATTCACAAAGGACAAGATAATAAAATGATAGCACTTATTGCAGAAATAAAATTTAGCAAGGGTGAACATTTAAACTAAAAGTATTAAAGAGACTGATGCAACTTGAACAACTGTTAAGAAAAGCTTTCGAGATTCCTAGTCCAGCTATCTTTCACCTTTTCCTGTTTTTGGTAAAAACTGTCATTTGGTTTCCCACAAAATATTTGAAGGATTAGAGGCCACTGGGAAAATAGTAGTGTGGAAATACAACCTCAGTCTCCTGATTCAAAAGAACCTTTCTTCTCCGTGAGTCCTCTATAACTGTGATCAAATATATTTTTACAGATTTATGATGGATAATTATATAACAGTTGTAGATGTTTTTGTTTTTTAAATATTCCATATATGAAGCTAAAATTTGTAACTATATGTCATTTAGCAAAACTCAAGGATATGATAAATCAACTAAAAATGATATAAGCACATTAGCTTATTGCAGTATGCTCCAACGCCTAGAAATTTGTTTGTTAGTATTTTGTTTTGAACGAACATTAATTCAAAATATAAAAAACGCACCCAAAATTTTAATGATCAGTTGAGTCTTTCAGAACCAAGACAGGATAAAAACAGGGATAATATATACGTGTACTTATACATTTAGAATTTTGTCCCTTTTCTAGCAAGAAGACTTTTTTCCCCCAAGCATCTTTTGACTGCAATTTCTTTGTACTTTAAAGCTGTAATCATGCAGTCAGTATCCCACGAGTAAATAAACACATACATGCATAATAAAAACAAAGCAAATGTGTTTTTTGTGTGTATCTGCTGTTGCACATTGCCAAACTTTTAATGTTTTAAAACAATACAAATTTATTCTTCTACAGCTGTGGAGGTCAGTAGACTAAATTGGAAAGGCAAGGCTATGTTGTTTCTAGTCTAATTCTCCTCCCCTTGAATTCTGGCCAGCCTTAGTGATTTGCTTTACCAATAGAATGTTCTGAAGTAATGTTCACGGGTTTCTGAGGCTTCAATGGCCTCTTGGGACACTTTGGGGATCCAGGACTAACAAGAGTCTGGTTCCTTTCTGGTTCCTTTGAGACCACCATGCTGCAATGGTCATGTATAGGTGCTATGGTTGTTCCAGCTAAGTCAGCCTTTTAGCCCTCCCCATCAAGGTGACAGACATACAACTGCAGCCATCTTGACCCTTCAGATACGACCCCAGGTGAATCAATCAATATCACAATAACAGAAAAATTACCAGCAAAGTACTACTTAAATACTGATGCCACTCCCTCAAACCATGAGATATAACAGTACTTCTTTTAAGCCTTGAGGTTTTGGGATAGTTTGCTATGCAGCAGTAGATAACCAGAACAGTGCATAAAAGATATTAACTATATTATAATGCCTAAGTCTCAATGTGAATCTAAAATAAACTGATTTTGATAGTTCAGCTTTCATACTAATGTACAATAATGCATATTAGATTTAGATAATCATACTGTAAACAGAATATACATATGGTGAATGAACACCATGCACACAAATGCTCCTATCT